TCTCCCCGCACCACAAACCATCCACCACAGCACTGGCCACCGGTCTTTCCAAAAATCAAACTTGAGCTCTGACCTTTGTGACTGGATAAACACAAAGACAAGGTCCTTTTCAAATTAAAGTCAACCTCCTCTTTAGGTCTGCCCTCTGTTCTGTCTTCCCCAATATCAGCCTTTTTTTTTTTTCTTTCATTAAGATTTCTCGGCCATCTTCACGGCACAATGGGTTGATCCACCATCTCTGACACTGGCATCCTAAATGCACATCAGAGTCCCAGCTGTTCCACTTCCAATCTAGCTCCCCTCTTGAAAGCAGAAGATGGCCTGAATGTTTGGGCTCCTGCACTCAGGTGGGAGACACAGATGGAATTCTGAGTTTCTGGCTTCTGCCTGGCTCACAGTAGGCCTTTACAGACACCTGGAGTGTGAAACAGCAGAAAAGTCGAGTGACAGAGAGAGACAGGACCGGGACCAGCGAGCGGTCATCTACGGCTGGTCTCCCGTGTGTGTCAGGGGCCCAAGCACTTGGTCCACTATCTTCTATCTTCCCACCAGGCACATCAGCAGAAGAGTTTAATTGGAAGCAGAGCAGCCAGGACTTGACCCAGCACTCCAATCTAAGATGCTGGCACCACAAGTGGTGGTTAAACCCCTGGACCACATCAGCAGCACTACCCGCCAAGACCAAATTTTAACGGACTATACTCAAGTAAACCTTCCCCAGATCACTTAAAATTCCCACCTGCCATCTCTTGGTTCCTAACACCCAGTTCATAAAGATCCCTTTACCAGAACTGCCTTCTGGTTCCAACACACATCCTCTCAGGGCCGGCTTTGCCACACAGTATTTCCGCCCGTGTTGAATAGGAGGCATTCAGCATGCAGTGTGACCGAAATGTCTGTTTCCTCACGTGAAGTCTTCGGAAAAGCAAGGACCACATCTGCTCTGGCCTGTTTTCCCAGGTCCAGCAGCATGCTAAGACAATTCGTGGTAGACCAGAGGCTCCTGTGTGCGACTGTTACCAGGACCCTCTGAAGCAATGAAGTGTTTTTCATATCACTAATACAGTGTGGTAGAGGCTATTAAGAATTTAATAAAACTTAACTATTAGGAATTTTATAAAAACCATCATTTATATATTTGATAAAATATAATTCTATATTTAGAAGGGAATGCTGTGAGGGGGGAAAAATATCCAAGAGAAATCAAATTGGAAAGCCCGCAAGAGCTACTTATTGCCTGTGGGAGCCTAAACAATTGGCCACCTTTCTCAGCATATTTTTCCACAATGCAACCAGAATATTAATAATGGCTGTATCCAAAGGGATATTTTAAATACCACAATCAAATTACATTTTGTAAAACAAATTTTTAGTAGCAGAAAAAATACCACCATTTTTCTGGCTAACAGAGCCCACTTTGAAAGAAGATTAATACATAATCTAATACATAAGTTTAATATGTAATACGTATCAAAGGCTAGAGTGCTTTATAAGTAAAGCAAAGAACAGAATTTTGCTACTGCAGGTGGCTAGTAATATCTTTCAAGAACTGTATGTAGCAACTGTTTAAATAGCATTTAATAGTCTGGCACAAGGGAATACAGTCAAGGGATTTAAATACTTTGAAAGTTTTATCTAAATGAGTTTTTCATATATGACTCCAAGTCTCAGTAAACCACACCTGAGAGGTGGCAACAGGTCAAGTCGGAAGTAGGAATTTTCAAAGATTACTGTAGCCAACAGAATTATTCTAATTACAGCCTTCAGTAGGTCAAAGACAAAATGATTTTCGAATTGAATTGAATCTGTCATCCAGCCCAAACTGTGAAAGTGCAGCACACTCCAGCAACAGAGTGCCAGTGTCCACCAGGAAAGCAACAGTGGAAAGGACACACATTAACAAAAGTTGGTAAGGGACTGCAGTGCCAGGAACTTCCACACTCCTGGAAGAATAAAATGGTGCAGCCATCATAGAAAACAACTGGGCACCACCTCATTAAACCCAAGAGTTACATTACAATCCAGAGCACAGAGTTTCAAGAGAAATGAAGACCTAAGGTATACAAATAATTCCTCATGAATGCTTTCATGTGGAAAAGCAAACAAACAAAAAACCCACCAAATCACCTGATGAAAGGTTCTATACTTACAGCTGGGTAATAGCATGTTTTTTTCAGCTAACTACAACACTGATGCTTGAAAACCTAGTGCAAAATCCAAGAAGCCAGCCACAGAAGACCACATGTTCTGTGGTTCCATTGGCAGCAGAAGTCCAGAGCAGGCCAGTGCGAGGAGTGAAGCAGCAGGAGGTACAGTGTGACAACCGATACAAGGCTTGTTTGGGGTGAGGTTATTTAAAAAAAAAAAAAACAAGTGTTAAATAGGTCTCAACAACAGGATGCTGTACTCTGCCACTGTTCAAACCTACATGGACTTGTGACTGCTTATGAAGGACTGCACTATTGTAATAATATGGGGAAAATCAGTGGCAGGGAGGAGACTTGGGGAGGGTAGAAGCAAAATCCCAAAGCCTATGGAACTGAAGTAACAACCAAAAAAGTCATTCAATGTTCTAGAAACAGATAATAATGATGGCTGCACAACCTTGTGAATATCCAAAAACCATTTAACTGCACACATTAAATGGTTACATGCTATTTTAGTTTTTTTTTTTTTAATTAATATACTATGTCAGAGCAGAAAGATGCAGGCTATGAGATGAGGCCTGACGGGGCGCCATGCAGTTCAGCTGTTTCCTATTGCAAGCCATTCAATCTCAGATGACACCTGCTGCGGCAAGGATCCCACACAGGCACTGGCAAACCACAAACTGAAGCCAGAAAACTGACAGGACACACAAAATCGCCAGCAACTCAGCTGAGAGGCAGGATCTGCCAAAACCATTTTCCTTGTCACATTATCCCAAGAATTTATATATTTAAAAAAAAAATCAGCAAAGAACACCACTCAGTGCAGAGCCAAGTGCTCTCCACAGCCGCCCCGCCCCCCAGTCAGGTCCTGGGGGGAAGGTCTCGCCAGCAATACTGAACATGACAATAAGGCATTACAGAACAGTACAATCCTGAAAGGATTTCCCAGGCCAGTCCTGGGAAGTGAGAGGAAATCTGTCACAAAGGCATTCGCTGGTATCATCAATGACGCTCAATTGTCAGGCACAGGCCAGCACACAGCGCAAGAACCACAATCCGCTGACAGCAGTTGTCGGCATTGCACCTTGGAAACTAAAAAAAAAAAGTGTGTGTGTGTGTGTGTGTGTGTGTGTGTGTGGGCTAGGTCGTTACTGCTCACAACGCAAACCGGTCATTCTACAGTGTGAACGCAAGCTCCTCTGGCCACCAATCCAGCGTGTGCACTGCCAAGCCCGGCCACAGCTGTCCTGCTCGCCAGCCTGAGTGCTGCGCGCAGTCAGGGCTTGGTATTGGTAAGAAGTTCATGTCTGACGAACACGACCATGATGGGAAACACCGTGGAGGTGTCTCAAGACGTGACACGCACAACTCCAGGGGGACTCGGCCGACAGTTACACACCCAAAGGAAACACAACGGCTTTCCCAGGGAGACGGCTGCGCTCACAGGTTCATCAGCGCGTCCTCCACGACAGGCGGGATGGGGAAGGAGCCCAAGATTCTGTGGGTGGACACACCGGCACAGTGCATATGCACTGACAGGCAAAGGAGAAAAAGGAAATCCTTATTATTATCACTTCCACATCAACGAAGCTGGAGGACGCTATGCCAAGCCGAGAAAGGAATCCAGAAAAGTCCAGTTCACAGACTGCTGCTTGTGGGGGACTATGAGAAAGTAAGAGCCAAACGGCCAGCCCTTCAGGAGTCAGAGCGCTGAATTCTGGGGCTCTAGTCACAGTCCGGAGTCTCTTCAGAATGACACTGCATTGTTAGCCTGCAATTTGCTTACAGAGTACATCTTAAATGCTCTTCATCCAACACACGCAAAAGCAATTAAGTGATGTGTCAGTTTTGTTAATTTCATAAAACGCACCTACATGGCAGCAGCACACAGCGCAAATTATACAATTTTATTTGTCAATTACACCTTGATAAAAGCTGCGAAAAACTTGGGCTGTTTCAAGCCAAGAATAAAAAAACCACATTCTGAAATGATGGTCCGAAGCCACAGAAAAGCCAGAATTAAAAACAAAAGATTACCTATCTATCTTGTCCACCCATTTATGCAAGTAGCACAGCCAAAGAGCCTTTTTTCTCTGTGTGTGTGTGTGTGTGTGTGTTGTGTGTACACACTTTCTTTTTAAAGGAGAAATCTTTCAGCTGCTGGTTCACTGCCCAAATGCTCCCAAGAAGTGGGGAGCCCAAAGCCCCACCTGGGGCCTCCAACGCACAGGCCGAGTCTGACTTCCTGTGCCATCATGGCTGCCTGGGCAGGTGCAGGTAATGGAGGATTAGAGCGAAGCCGCCGGGAGCTGAGGCGCTTGGCCCACTCGGTGGGCTCTGAGTCCACGCATTCCCTCACACACGGACCGGCCACCCGGGATTCGGGCCGACCCTCCCTGTGTAAACGAGCAGCAGCTGCAGGAACACACCCACATGCGGGCTGTACAAGGCACGTGGCACACGAACCCCTCAAGGCCGCCCTCAGCCCGGTGGGTGTTAGCAGACAACACACGCGACGGCCCACCACGGTCCCCCCCCCCCCCGGGCCGGAGAAGCCCCCCGAGGTGAAGCAGCAGGCTTCCAGGCGCACAGGGAATCTCCCCCGGCTGAGGGCGGCTGTCGGGAGCAGGGCCCAGCAGGCCCAGGTGCCTCAACCAAGGACAAGGCGAGACGCCTACGCCTCTCCACACGCGGGCACATCGCAAACACCAGAAACTCAAACCAGCTTAAACATGGAAAAGAATAAAAACACTGTACCTCGGGTCACGGGGCTCCCAGCCGTCTTCTCGCCGACCCCGCGGAGCGCCGTCGTCGTGCGCCTCCCGCTACAAGATGGCGCACGGACATGGCCCGCTTCCCCAGCGGGGAGGCGCAGCTCTTCCCGGAAGGAGAACCCTGGACTCACAGCTCATTGGCCCGAAGCGGCACGGGCCCGCCCAATCCTCCGCCAATCACCGACAAGGGATGGTTCCTCATTAGCTCAAATCGTAATCATCTGGAGGTGGAAAGAGTTTAGCAGTCATCAAAAGGCCTTCCTCATGGAACGCTTTGGAGATAATTGACGAAGGCATGGATGGAGCATAGCTAGATCCGTAACACGATACAATCCGAGCTGTAACTCTGGCAGAGTAACAAGAGGAAGGTCTCTATTTACGTTGACTTTAACATACTTAAAGATCGAGTGATTAAGGTCCAGCGCAGTAGCCTAGCAGCTGAAGTCCTTGCCTAGCATGTGCTGGGATCCCATAGGGTCACCGGTTCTAACCTCAGCAGACTCGCTTCCCATCCAGCTCCTTCTCTGTGGCCTGGGAAAGCAGTCGAAGTCGGCCCAAAGCCTTGGGACCCTGCACCCGTGTGGGAGACCTGGAGGAAGAGGCTCCTGGCTTCGGACTGACTCAGCTCTAGCCGCTGCGGCCACTTGGGGAGCAAATCATCAGATGGAAGATCTTCCTCTCTGTCTCTCCTCCTCTCTGTATATCTGACTTTGCAACAAAAATAAGTAAATGTTTAAAAAAATATTAAATAACCAATCGTCCGTTAACAATGAGTGGATAAGGAAACTGGATAACGACATTCGACATTCACAAAATGAAAGGCTACTCAGTGATACAAGGAATGGCCCCTGACCCTGGAACAGACACATGTTGGATAAAGCAGTCAGACACACAGCACACCTGTTGTGTGAGCCCATTACTCAGAGTCCTGCAAAAGGCAAACTGATTTCCAAATACAAAGAGCAAACCTGTTGCTGTTCAGGGTCAGGGATTGGAAACGGGAGCTGAGATGAGGCAGGAGAGGATTTGAAGGTTAACAGAAATGTTGTAGAGCTCTGGAGGTTACAGAGCGTGCACAATTTTTCCAAACTCATCAAGTTCTTCACTTAAAAGAAATGCATCCTATTATATGTTACATATATCATTCTGTAGAGAGATACAGAAATGTCTAGAAGAAGCTACCCCCCAAAAGTAATAGCATTAATTTACAATGTCTAGAGATTACAATATTCTTTTTAAAAAATTCATTTTTTTTAAAGACGTATTAATTTATTTGCAAGAGACAAAAACAACCTTCCATTGGTTCATTTTTCCAATCCCCACAGCAGCCGGGCCCGAGCCGTGTTGGAGAGCCTGGAACGCCACCCACGCTCCCCCGTGAGTGCTGGGACTCCGTGCACGTGGCATCATCTATTTCTCCCACAGTGCATTAGCAGGACGCCTTAGCCAGTTCAGAAGCAAGTACTGCACTTGAGCCAGCATTCCCACTTAGGAGTCAGACATCCCCAACAGCAGCTTAACCTGCTGCATAACAATACCCATCCCTGGGGGTTTTAACCCTCAACGCCTTCCTCCTGATTTGGCCCCAGTGTCTGAGAACTACTCACACCACCTTAAAGCAGCAGCGCGTCATTTCTACTGGCTCATCCTGCTTATGTAACACTACTTCTACTAATACCATGGTTGACTCAGGTTTTCAGTACAAATCCCAGCTTCAAAGCCTTTTAAGTTAAAAATCAAGACAATTGAAACAGCATAATATTAGTATATATTCAGCGAAGGTTTATGTTCCAGGAACACTGAAATCTTAGGTTATTTTAGAGACGGGGATTTCCTCAGGATCCTGTTTCTCAAAATTAATGCTGATATACATAGATAAGCACCTACCTGCTAGAGGCAGAGATTTCCTCCAACAGTTTGCACTTTCAAGCTGGTCTTCATTAATCTGGTAGAGAACCTTGAAAGAGGAACATCAGAAAAATACTGAAAAGTTGATTTTTAAATTGAAGATGAAAGACGCAATAAGATGATCCAGAAGTTAGCAAATTACAGTAAATGACTCTCCTATTTCTTTTCTCTCTCTTTTTAAAGATTTATTTATTTTTATTGGAAAGTCAGATTTACAGAGAGGAGCAGAGAGAGAGAGAAAGATCTGTTGGTTCACTTCCCAGGTGGTCACAACAGCCGGAGCCGAGCTGATCTGAAGCCAGGAGCCAGGAGCGTCTTCCAGTCTCTCACATGGGTACAGGGTCCCAAGGCTTTGGGCCGTCCTCCAGTGCTTTCCCAGGCCACAAGCAAGGAGCTGGAAGGGAAGTGAAGCAGCTGGCATACAAACTGGTGCTCAAATAGGACCCTGGTGCATGCAAGGTGAGGACTTCAGCCACTAGGCTACTGCGCTGGGCCCAACTCTCCTCTATTTCTTACATTTCTTATCATGAATATGAAAAGCAGAGAGGAAGCACCTCAAAGTGATACCACAGTGTCACTAAATATTCATTAGTTGTAATAATTTTGCTAAGTGTATTTCTAAATTATGATGTCAAGAGAGCACATACTTAATGTGGGATTTCATTTTGCCTAGAATTTAACTAGCATTCCCGTGAGATGCGTGTGTGTCATAGTAATGCTTGCTGTGTGCAGTAATACTGGTATTTCTGGTATTTCTGTATGGTGTTTCGTGTGCAGATAATCCTAGACCTCAATATTTTTAAAGACCAAATACTTTCTAATAGATACATAATAAGAATGGAGATTTTCATCTTAAGGATCCCATAAAATGGCTTAGCCAGATATCCTAGTTAGTCCTCTCCTGTGTGTCAGTACATGAAGCAGAAGAGAACATGTATCCTTCAAAACAATTTATACAATGTGTTTCAAAATAACAAAATGATATAGAAGAACCGTTCTCGTCTTAAAAGGCGTAATCGCTGGGGCTGACTCTGCACTGTGCCAGATTAAGCCACCACCTGGGACACTGGCATTTCACGTTCACGTGCCTGGTTCAAATCCTGAGGACTGCACTTCCAATCCAGCTTCCTGCTAATACACTGGGAATGAAGAGCAGCACAAGCCAAATGCTTGCTCTCTCTCTTTCTTGTGCATACACACCACTCTCTCTTTCAAATAAATAAACATTTTAAGAGTGTAATAATTATCAAGATAGTGTGAAACTGGCAGAGGATGGATGAATAGGCCAATGGAAATCCTGGAAGAAGATCCAGGGAAAGGAAGGTCTGTGCGAAAATTACAGCACCTACTTGAGCAGCTGTGCACCCTTCCAAGGGTCAGGTGCAAGCATCCACTTGGTGAGGCCATGGTCCCCAGCCAGACAGCTTCAACACTGCTCCACGTGTTACTGCGCAGGCACTTTGGTGACGAGAGCGATGACTATCAGTAGAGTCAACTGGCTTTAAATGAAGGACATTTTCCTAGGTCATCTTTGTGGACTTGACTCTGTAATCTCAAAAGCCTGAGGAACACAGTTTAAGTTTCTTAAATCCCATAGCCCTCACCGGAGAGTTCCAGGCAGCAGCAAAAGCTTGGCCGCAGCACATCCACTTGCAGTAAGGAGGAGAGTAATTTAGGAAACGTTACCTTCCTGATGCAGGATCACATAGCTATTCAAATCATGCGCATGAAGTGCTTAGCCGAATAAAACTATGCTACAACTTGAAATCAAAGAACTATACAATAATCATAACTATTTTTTAAGTATCTATGATTTACAGAAAGTTCAAAACAGCTCAGTACAGTAACCTAGTAGCTAAAGTCCTCACCTTGCATGCGCCAGGATCCCATATGGGTGCCATTTCGTGTCCCAGCTGCTCCACTTCCCTTCCAGTCCCTGCCTGTGGCCTGGGAATGCAGCAGAGGATGACCCAAAGCCTTGGGATCCTGCACCCACGTGGGAGACCTGGAAGACGCTCAGACTCCTGACTTCTGATCAGCTCAGCTCCGGCCGTTGTGGCCACTTGGGGAGTGAACCAACAGATAGATCTTTGTCTCTGTCTCTCCTTCTCTATGTAAAATCTGACTTTCCAATAAAAATACATATTAAAAAAAAATAGGGCCCGGCGCGGTGGCGCAAGTGGTTAAGTCCTCGCCTTGCACGCCCGGGATCCCATATGGGCACCGGTTCTAATCCCAGCAGCCCCACTTCCCTTCCAGCTCCCTGCCTGTGGCCCAGGAAAGCAGTCGAGGACAGCCCAAAGCTTTGGGAACCTGCACCCGCGTTGGAGACCCAGAAGAGGCTCCTGGCTTCGGATCGGCATAGTATCGGCCCGTTGCGCTCACTTGGGGAGTGAATCATCAGACGGAAGATCTTCCTCTCTGTATCTCCTCTCTGTATATCCGCCTTTCCAATAAAAAATAATAAAAATAAATCTTATTAAAAAAATAATAAAGTTCAAAACTAAGATTAGCATGTGTTGTTAGCAATCCAAAAAGTCATTGCCCTTATTGGGATAGAGCTTGGGATTTTGAGAAAGTTCTACATTTTGATAATGAGCAGGTGTTTTCAATTTGTGAAAATTGAGTAGATATATAGATATAGGGTATTTATACAAGGAGACTTCAATTGCTCTTAGAAAAATAGAATTAAAAAATAGGTTTGTCTTGAAACTTAAAGATTAATGAGACCCCTGCATTACCCATGAACGGATACATGCGCTATCTAAAGTATATGTCATACTTAAATTTTTAAATTTTTAAATTTTTAAATTGGGGGGAGGCAACCTAGCACATAGAAGAAAATACAGTAGCTGTCATTACCTGGTGGAGCTGCAGGCTATATTTGCCTTTTCCCTTCTGCTGCTTCTTTTAAATTTGAGTCATGAAGAGAGAGACAGAAAGCTGCCATTCATTGGCTGACTTCCTCATATGGCTGCACCAGCTGGTGGGCCAAAGCTAGAAGCTGTGTAGACAATTGGGGTCACATAGATAGGTGACAGAACTTGAGCCAACATTACTGTCTGCCCGGGTCTGCCTTAGCAGGAACCTGGTGTCATGAACTAAAGCCAGGCATTGAACTCAAAATCTTCCCTATGGGACACAGGCATCTTAACTGTTGAGCCAAACACCCACCTTCCTTTTGCATCTTTATCTTTCTTCTCCTAAAACAGACATACATGACTTTTATAGTGACTTTTGCTAAGGACTGAAGCCAAGGACTGATGAAGACGGCCAGGAGAGGCTCAGGGCAGTTTCCCTCTCAGCTTCAGGAGCAGCAGTGCCACTGGCCCCAAGCTGTGAGTCCAGACATCAGCACCAGTAAGCCTGCACCAGCTAGTGCAGCACACACACACACACACACACACACACACACACACAGAGATGACTCCAAGAGACAGTGGAAGACTCCCATTTAAGAAAAACCTCTAGGTGACCATTTCTTTGCACCAAAATGAACTTATCTTCGATTTTCTGTAGACTCTTTAAAGTCCCCACATATGCATACAACACATTTTTGTATATATATGTATGTGTATCTGTCACTGTGATACACGGACACACAGGCATGGTAGCCTGGTGGTGCTGGCCATGCCCGGGGGAAGGATCTGGGAAACCCAGCAGCAAAGCCAATTTTCATTGACTGTTCTTACATACCATTTACTTCTGGAACCCTGTGGTGGGTGTGTAGTTCTTCACTCAGATACTCAGATATTCAGGAAAAGAAAGGGAGCCTGCTGGGAGTCACAGTTTGTACCTCTTCTTTTCCCCATTCATACATAGGTATGGATGAACTTGACCTTGTGGGGGATCTCTGTTAAGGGTGGTGCTTCCTTGGCCATGATGTCCAGATCTCTGCTGGACTCAACGGAGAAAAGTTCAGACAGTAAGCAGAATTCCATAAGGTGCAGGGAGGGGACGTAGAGGCAAGACCACAAGCATCTGGCAACCCTGACCTATTCCATCACTGCTCACCATTGGAAGGTCAGGTTGTCTGAGGGCAGTATGCAACCCTATTAGGCAGAACTTTGTTCCTGTCTGATAAGGCACGTGGCTCTAAAACGTGTGACGCAATGACTCACCATGCACAAAGAAGTCCTTTTCCTTTCTGCAGTTAATGGGCAGATGGACAGCCACTGTGTGAGTCATGAGGCCCGAGGCCCAAATGACCGTGCAGATGGAGAAAAAATGAGATCTCATGCAGAAGGCTCTTATCTCATCAAACCACGGGGTCTGACCCCTGCATGGACTGCACCTGCCAGGATGCACAAATTCCAAGAGGCAATCTCAGTCCTGGTGGCAGAGGGGAAACAGAGTTGGCACCACCACCACCACCACCACTGAGACCTTGGCCATCTTTCCAAGTAGAAAGGATCAGAAACTCGGTGCAAAACTCCACATGGAAGAAGAATTGAAAGCAAGAGCTGCTGAGAACCAAGGTCACTCTAGCCCTATCCTAAATGTACCACACACCCATCCCTGAGTCACTGGGAAGCCAAGGCCTGCTCTCTGGGGTGGGAGCGATCATGGGTCCTGCTATTCAGGGACTTGGCTGAAATGGTCCAAGTGAGAAATGAGAAAGCCCTGGTTGCCCAGCAGTGTGCAAGAGCAGGAAAGGGAGTGGTCGTGAGCTGCTGTAGATGGGCCGTGGACAGGACTTCCTGAGGGCAGGGGAGGGAGTGGAGAGCGCCCAGGGTTCTGATTGGCTTGTGACACACCTCAAGACTGGAAGAAGAGGAGGGATGTCACGTGGTCCTCTCCCTGGACTCGTCCAACACATGGGCAGAAATACAGGTGTGGAACAGGAGAGGACTCCACCAAATGTTTTCCTCATGACACATCCTTGTTAAGTTTCCATTCCCTGGGTCTGGATAAGAGAGTGGTGGGGGTGGCACCATTCAGAAGTCATGGGTGTGGTCATACAGCGCTAGCAGCCAAGCGGCTTTGTCTCAATCACCCTCAAAAACCCCTCCCACCTCTGCCCGAGGACCCACATTTCTGCATCCTCGGACATGCCTGGCAAGCAGGTCCAACCGAAATGCACTCCATAGTGTTGGGGCCTTTAGTCTCCAGCTCTGCAGGTGCCTGAAGGAGCTGAATCACAGACGTCGGGCAGGAAGGGAGAGAAGCCAGTTCCTTTCCCTATGAACTGGCACTAGGACAAAATCTACATTTGTAAACATTTGGTGGGTTTGTATTACCCAAAGACAGGCTGACCAAAACAGGTAAAGGAGAATGAGAGAAGCTCCTTCATCACCTGTAGAACTGCTCTGAATCCAGATCCTTCAGGAGAGCTGCACAATAGTAGTGTTTTACAATTGGATGGCATACTCTGGTTTCTCTTCAGATCATATAAATCTTTCACCTTTGACAACTGCAGGGAGCTTAAGATACACAACATGAAACCTCTGTCATTTGTAGCCTCACTTCCTGGACACTGTCCTGTGAGTTCACGGTCATAGTCCAGTCGTTGTCCCCATCTGTGGGTGAGCAAAGGTTGAGAGCAGTGGGTTTCACCAGCCTGCCTTGACTCGGCCCTGAAGTCAGTGGTGTGTCTGGGTGTGGAAGCAGCCTGAAACCAGAGGCTGCCCTGGGAACCACCGAGCTGCAGGCTCCCCCAGCAGGTGCTTCGGGCTGACGTGGTCATACAGCACTCTGTCGTTGAAAGTACTTGCTTATATTTAAATCCTCCAACTGGACAGAAATGGGGTCAAGGCCAACTCTTTAGCCTGAAATGGCTTTTCACAATGTTCTCTGGGGGTAGGGGAGAGGTGTACTGCATTCCCTTCTTTGGCTACGGGCCTTAGAAATAGTGTTAGAACAAACCCTATCAGCCTCTACCTGTCTCTGTGCCTAGATCTGACATGGCCTAGAGGGCTACACATTCCATCCTGGAACACAACAACCAAAAGGGTTGAGGTTAATGACGGAAAGCCGCTGGTGGACGAAGATGCACGCTGCTAAACCCCTAAGGGGCTGCTTCTTTGGATAGATGAGGAATCAAACTCCTAGAAGGACTTAATCTGGTTTAAACCAAGGCAAAGAAACAAAACCCAGCTTTGGATGCACAAGGCAGAGGAATGCCTGACTGTGGAGGTGATTACCCCATCTGCAAACCAAGATCACTATGCCATTACTGAATGCACAGTAAATGGAATACTTGGAGCTTCACTCTGGCTCTGCTACCCACCTCACATATCCACCTTCATGTAGGCTGCCACCAGTCCGGACCATGCAGGCGTGAACCATCACCTGTGCTCCCAGGTAGAATAAACAGCAGTGTGTTCGTACAGGTTGAGCAACTGGCTCCTGGACGAAGTGGATACTCACAGCTGAGGGCCTCAGTGGTGTCAAGAAGTCTCGCCACTACCTATATCTGGCTCGCAAGAAGACTGCCTGCTGCACGGTCACTTCTGTGAAAAAGCCAGGGCCCATGCACTGAATATTCAAGAAGTTTTGCCAGCAGCTTCAGTGGTTCAGGGTGGAGGGCTGGGAGCAGGTGGGGAGAGTGGTGGTGGAAGGATGAGTGGTGGCAATGCCAGGTGGTCAGTGAGAATGGGGACCCTCGTCCCTGCCTCTCTTGATGTCCCCTTTTTCTCCCTGAGTATCTGACAACATGACAGAGGGCGGGGTGATTATTTCAAAAAGTTTGTGAAAAATGAAATCAAAATGCAAGTCTATTTTGGCGCAAGAGTACTTTGAAATCTGCCTTCTAGAAAGTCTTGAAAACTTTACAGAAATTGCATATAATTTTTTAAAAACATCTATGAGATTCAAAAATCTGTTCAAACTCACCATTGATTCCATTTTTCCATGGACTTTTTGAGAATAGCAATATGCAGCACTGCCATTGAGAAAGACTCAGTTGTTCTGAGGGAATTGGGGATGGGTCACCAGCATCCTTTCTGGCCCTAGTTGGAAGGGGAGGTGGGCACGAGAGGCCCTCACCATCCTTTCCATGGCTGAGATCCATTTAGGTACCCTCGTGCAGAGCTCCAGGCTCAGGGTCAAAAACCGAAGCTGCAGACTTCATTGCTACGTGGGTTTGGACCACTCAACACTCAGCGCCTCTGCTTTCCCCAGCAGCTGGCTGGACCCCATCACAGCTTCAGCAAAGGCTCTGCAGCTGGTCAGGAACAGAAGTCTTTCAATTTCTCACAAACATAGCAAGGCATTTCTTCTGTAGATACACAGATCATGCAGAGGCCTGGCATGGTAGCCTAGTGGTTAAAGTCCTCATCTTGCACATGCCAAGATCCCATATGGGCATCAGTTCTAATCTCAGCGACCCTGCTTCCCATCCAGCTCCTTGACTGTGGCCTGGGAAAGCAGCAGAAGACAGCCCAAAGCTTTGGGACCCTGCACCTGTGTGGGATACCCAGAAGAGATCCTGGCTCCTGGCTTCGGATAGGCTAGCTCTGGCCGTGGTGGCCATTTGGAGAGTGAATCATCGTATGGAAGATCTTCCTCTCAATAAATCTGACTTCCCAATAAAAATAAATAATCTTAAAAGAGAGAGAGAGAGATCATGCGGGACTCCAGACCAGGGTATAGGTGATAACCAGCCCCTCTATGAAAACTAAGATTTGCTTAAGAACAAGGCAGCATTTCTCTTTTTTCTTGGTTCTTTCTTTCTCTCTACATAAATGCCGTGCTTTTGCAGACAGACCCCCTGGTCTCTTTCATCTTGATCCAGCACCCCAAGGCCACTAGGCTCAGCTCAGCCCCAGAAGTTCCCATCTCATGTACTTACTTCTAAGCTCAGTTTCCAGTGAAGGTCAAAATCACAGGAACAAAAATCAATTGGCCCGGGTGTGTGTGTAGTCCACGCCGTGGCAACCACAGGACACAGGGACTTCGATCATCTTTGGCGTAGGTGTCAGCCAGTGTTCAGCCTTTAGGTCACGGCCATGCAATCGAGTAGGGACAGAAACATGGTCTGCGTGACTGTGCCGGGGTGACACTGGAGAGAAATCACAGTTTGAGGTGCTGGCTCAGGCTGAAGTCAGGAGCTAGGAAGTACGCCCAGGTCTCTCCCATGATGGACACAGACCAAGATTGGGCTATCATCTGCTGCCCCAGGATGTGTGTTTGAAGGAGCCTTGATCAGAAACAGAGGTGGCCTGGACTTCTAACCAAGTACCCAGATAGGGATGTGGGCATCCCAAGTGGTGACTTTTTTTTTTTTAAGATTTATTTATTTTTATTGCAAAGTCAGATATACAGAGAGAAGGAGAGACAAAGATCTTCCGTACGATGATTCACTACCCAAGTGACCGCAGCGGCTGGTACTGTGCCAATCCAAAGCCAGAAGCCTGGAGCTCTTCTGGGTCTCCCACATGGGTGCAGGGTCTGAAGGCATTGGGCCGTCCTCGACTGCTTTCCCAGGCCACAAGCAGGGAGCTGGATGGGAAGCAGGGCCTCCAGGATTAGAATCAGCAACTGTATGGGATCCCAGCACATTCAAGGTGAGGACTTTAGCTGCTAGACCACCACGCCAGGCCCCCAAGTGGTGACTTAATTGTGCCAAGCACCCACCCCACAAGTTAAGCATCTGTATGTCCATTTTGCAGATGTGATGGTTGGGGTAGGGACAGCATTGTAGAGAAGCAGATTAAGTCACCATCTGTAATGCTGGCATCCCATACAAGTACCAATTTGAGTCCCAGCTGTTTCACTTCTTACCTAGCTCTCTGTTAATGTGCCTGGGAAACAAGGAAAAGAGGCCCAAATTTTGGGGCTCCCACCACCCAAGTGAGAAACTGGATGGCTAACTCCTGGCTTTGAGCTGACCAATCCCTGGTCATTGCAGCCACTTGTAGAGGGAATCAGTGGAAGGAAGATCTCCGTCTCTCCCTCTCATTTTAACTCTGCCTTTCAGAGGCGTAAGAGGGGCAGGCAGAGGATCTGACAAGGGACTGTGCAGAAATCACTCTGAAGTTGATGGAGAACACCAGACTTCAGCTATATGTGAAAGAACCCGGCTCAAACCTTCCTCAGTAAAATGCACACCTAGTGGTTAATACATGGAAAGAGTTCAGGTCACGTGTGTCTGAAATCATGATGGGGAGTGCTTCCGTTGTTTTCTTCTTTTAGCACCCACCTTGTAGGAAGCAGGTTCCTTCTTGAAGGGCACATTGTTGGATCTGGGGTTGACGCCAATCCTGCCAAGTGCATGAGAGCTGAAGTTAGGAGAGGGATGACTCTTCAAAGGAGAACAGAGGTGCTGTGACCAGAAGGTAGGGTACCAGATGCCAGGCAGACAAAGGCAATAGCTGCTCCCATAGGGTGGGAGATGTGAAGGGCGTACAAGCCTGAGTTAACCTCAGAGATACAAGTGGTCAACAGCACTGAGCCTGGCAGGTGGGTACAGCAGGTGCCCAGTACATTCTGAGTGGCTGAATGACTACCCAGTGGTTTGGATTAACCACGTAGACCAGGTTAGGCAGCTAGGTCATTCTTATCTTTTTTCTTTTTCTTCTCCTTGTCCTTCTTTCCTTTTCCCCTTTCCCACACCCTCAGGAGCTTCCAAAGGTTAGTTGATGGAGATGGAGGTGTGCCATGGGCAAGCTAGAGTCAAGAACCCTAAAAATCTGGGAACCACTATACCTGAGTGACTGGCTAGGGGCACCCTCACTGTGTGTGTGAAGGCTTTCCCTGTCCCTGACATGAAAGGCATGCAAGCAGGCCAAGGGTGGTCTCAAAGTCTGGCTGGGGAGTCTCCCTGTTGCACGGCTACTGGCAAGGTCACCCTGCCCAGCTGACAGGGAGGGTCTATCCTGGGAGCCCCCGGACTGCTAACACTCCCATTCGCAGGATGGCTGAACAGGTTTGGGTGCGGTCCCAGGGTGTGTGAACATCTTTCTAAATAGAGGAGAGCTTACGCCATGCATTTCCCTATCACGATCATGTATGATTTATTGCTGTTCTCTACTGCATCTGACAGCTGGCAGGGTAGGGTGTGGGGGTCCTTGGTGAAAGTTGCATAGTGAAACGTTTTGGCCACCAGTACATGTCACTTCATCAAGCAGTGACTTGAACTCACTGGGACTGCAGAAGTTGCTGAGGGCTCAGAATCAAACCATCCCTTCAGATTGTGAGTAGGTTGTCATCCTGGCTTTTCTTGGGATGGCTGAAGAACAAATGTCAGAATTTTCAAAACAGGTTCTACCACAACGTTGCTTTTGGGGAACTCAATCACTCTGAGATTGGTTGAATTGGAGACATGACAGGACAGTCTCAGAATGCAAGCTATCTGTTTGCATGTCTGAGGCAAATATGCTAAGACATGCCTACAATCTCAACAGTCAACGGACAGCATGGAGGACCTTTAGTAATGAGAAAGGGTAGAGGGGTGGGTACTTAATACTCTTCCTTGAGTTCCATATGTATTCAAAGCCCTGGCATTTTGGGCTTAACTGGACCATGAGTGCATTCCTCCATCATCTGATCTCTTTGGGTGGACTGTTTCAAGGCCAGATTAGGCTCATGTGGTTGCTGTTGCTTTCACAGTTGGTGCCAGGCAACCCAACCCTTGAAGTTGGGACCTGAGGAGAGGGGTGGTTTTCCAAAGGCGATGGGGGGAGGGGAGATGCTAATATCAGAAAAAAAAAAAAGGATAAAGGATGCCACATGGGTGACATCCAGACCTCCATGGGAGAGAAGTGAAGGGTATTTGGGAATGGGAGCTGCTGAAGCCCTCCCAGAGCCAGGGCACTGTGGAAGGTAGAACATAAGCTGTGGGGTCAGCTGGTGGCCGGTCTTTGCTCTGTGACTTATCAACTCAATAGCTTATCATGGCTTCTTCACCTGCAAACAGAGTTACCAACAGTTCCCTTTCAAGAGGGTGACAGCAGAGCCACTAGTAGAAGGCCCATTAGTTGGAAGTGAGTCCTCCATAGGAGTGTACTTCATTAATGTCATCTCAGTAAGAACCAACTCAGCTCCCAGCACGAACTACATAAGACCTAGGCGAGGGTTTAACTCTACTACCTGATCTTAATCAAAGTTAAATACTTCCTGGATCCTAAAAGAAATCACTTATCACCTCCTTTGGGTTTCATACCTTCTGGCTCTGACTTGGGTCAAGAGAGAGTTAAAAGAATCTGAACATTACTTCTGAGTATTAGCAGATTGGGCTAGAACGCTGTTTCTCCCATGGGACTTGCCTTGGCAATCCTATTAAAGTCTAAAGGTCTGTGATCAGCAGCTGGATCAGGGTGGAGAAAGAGACTGTTTTCAAATGATTAAGTTCTGAGAAATTTTCACAGTATGCACTTCTAGCCAGCGACACATAGTTCGACCATGCGCTGGGCTCAAGGATGATATGAAGGGCCAAAGCTTGTGGCAGGAGTCACTGGGGCTGAGCAGAAAGCCAGCAGCATCTGCACAGAGCTCAGGAAATGGGAAACCAGTCACCATGATGAGGCAGCAGAGGCACCAAGGAGGAGAGAGAATTTTGAAAGAAAGTATATCCTGCTCTTAGCTCTGCCATAGCAGAAACCAAACCTGAGTGTTCGCCAGATGGTGCTTCCTGACCGGTGGGTTACTGAGAGAGGCAAAGCAAGTTAGTTAACAAAACAGTTCTAGGGAGGAAGGGTACTGGGAACTACATCAGAAATGGATGACTTCCACCAGATCTAAAAATAGTCCCGTGCCATGTAATCATGCGTATACGACCATGTGAAATTGCATGTGGACAACATCCAGGACATTCACAAAGAAATTCTAACCAGAGTTTAAGAAAGGGTATTTGGGTTCTAGAAGCAAAGAGACACACACTGGAATGTTAGGTGATTAAGCAGACTCCCCTCTCCCCAGCTTGCATGATCTCCTTCATGTTTATGTTTTTCATGGATAAAAGGGAGGTCAATTGTTGGGTGCCTGCTGAGAAGGCCCTAACCATAAGCGAATCCAACACAACTTCAAAAGGTGGAATTAAAACATGCTTATTTGGATGCAAAAAAAAAAAAACAATGAAATCCATAAACAGTTTTCCTGCAATTTGCATTTTTAAAGACTTTGAAAGACCTCTCCTATCTCACTGAGACAAAACAGACATTTTAAACTAAGTTCGGCACCAGGTGAGGATGAAAAGTTTCCAGTTCACTGGCAGCCCTAGCTCCTCCTCCCCACGCGACAGTGATTCCACCGCCCTCCTCCCCCAAACCCCCTCAGTATCTCAATCTCTCACCTCTTCTTCCCATCCCAGGGCACTTCTCCATCTGCCTCAATGGGAAGCTCCTCTTCATCTTCTGAAGTCCATTTGAGTGTCACCTCTTCTGCAGAGCTTCCTCTTACTGCCGCCTCCTGGGTTGAAAGGACCAGTCCCTCTCGGTGCCTCCACTGCCTGCCATGCACCATGAACACGGCAATGTCATGTGGCACATGCCACTCACTGCATATCACTTGCCTGCTGCCAAGAGCTTCCTTAGATTAGAGATGATGCCTTGGATTTTCTGGTTTGAGCAGCTCCTGGCACACAGGAAATGGTCAGGAAGTGACTGCTAGGTCAAAGCCAAAACAATGGTCAATGTGCTACTAAGACACTGGAGCACCTGGGTATGAGGCCCAGCTCCAGTTCTGGATTCCAGTTTCCTGTGAGTGCAGATCCTGGGAAATGGCAGGTAAATGCTCAAGTGACTTGGTCCCTGCCACTCAAGTGGGAGACTCACATTGAGTTCCTGACTCCTAGCACTGGCCCATTCTAGTGCAGACCTGGCCGTTACAAAGAGGAACTCTCTCTCAACCAGAGACGCAGACATACATACATGAATATATACATATCTATATCCATCCACAGATATAAATATGCATACATACATAAGAGTCTGTTTCTTAAAAACAGAGCGTGATGGTTCTCACTGGAGGATGGCCAGTTACTCTCCACTGTGAGGAAAATCCACACAGAAACAGATTTAAGCTGCAGCATGGGAAACTTGAGTCAGACACAAATAATTCCCTTAGAGGGTGTTAGATAGCAGGCCGTGTTCCCATGGGGCCCTGCGGAATTTTTCCAAAGGGTCCTTGAAAAGGAACACTTACAATGTTCATGGTGCCACTGATGTGGTTTGGCTTGAAGGCAGCTTCCTCACTCTAGACGAGCTTCCTACTCCAGTCCCCAAGGAATCCCGATGACAGTGAGGGTCTCTGGCCCCTGGTCAGCTGTGTGACCAGATGGTTTCTTGAATATGGCACCTGCCAAGGAGGCTGGGAACGAATGTGGATGTTAGAGTGAAAGGGTGGGAGGGTGGCGGGAAGCCCAAATCCTGGGGCCAGCCTGAGTGCAGTATTTTGCCACAGGTCACAGTTACCTTGTATGCAGGAACCAGACTTAGTGCCACCCAGCTTCCTTCATTGTCCCATTCCTGTGGAGTAAAAAGGCGGACAGCCTGGGCAAGGCGCTGCACGGCAATGGGAGATGATCTGGTCTCTGCCCTGGCTGAGCTGCCTGTTTACAAGAAGACAGACCCCAAGCATCTTATAACAAATAATTCTTGGAAAACACCACGATGGAGAAGCATGTTGTTATAAGAGGAAAGGTAAGGAAAGACCATCTTTTCCCAAGGCTCAGACCACACAAACAATAAACAAATGAACACCATCTCACCAGTCATCAAACCCCAAAATGTCTAAAGGACCAATCCAGCCACCATGTGAGCACACATACTTCCAATTTCAGGTGGGCACGATCCCTGGATCATCAGGGTGTGATTTGGGACACATATACAGAGAAAGAGCCACAAAGCCATGACCCCACTAATTTGCTGGCTGGCCTTGAATGCTACACCTGGGTTTTGGCCAAGAGACAGCTGCGAGCCTGAGGTTAGTTTCGTAAGAGACTGTATGACACAGGGGGTGCGGGGTCAGTGCTGGGGGTGGTGGTGGGGAGACAACAGGAATGTTGCTCAGGGTCCTGCACCACAGTGGGTCTGCTTTCCAAAATTTCACCTTGAAACCTCACTGGCTTGGTTCTGCTGCCTGACACTCCCTGGGAATTCCAGGCTGGCCTCCTGCAGGGTCTATCCTGCCCAGAAAGACGGACGTTCCTAGCCCTCCTCCTGATCCCCACCCCGCTCCAGCACAGAGCTGGCTCCATCTCCACCCCTACCAGTTCCTGCGTTGGTTAGCACCTCCCTTGGCTGCTATGCCAAGCTGAAGTCAGCCAATACTTACTAAGCCAGCACAGTTAATTAGTTGCAGCTTAGCTTGGTGCTATTAAAAGCGGGGCAAGCCAATGGCATTGACACATTTGGGAAAGAGATGCGTGCTATCTTGGTGGCGGATGAGAAAGGGCTGGAAAAAAAAAAAAAGAGAGAGAGAGAGCTGTGACTTCATTCTCCAAAGAGCAAGCATGTCCAGGGGCTGCGAAAACCTTTCATCATGCTCGCAGCCTAACATTTACCTAATCGCAAGCACCAATCGAGCGTCTCTGAGCAAGGTGCTCTCATGGGCAACTGATCAAGCAGCCAGAACTAACAAGTGCAAAATAGTGAGCCAACCACAGCATGTGACGGCTGTGGGCTGTGTTCTGAGTACCTGCCAAGGGCACAGTGAAGATTCAAATTTGCTAAGGTAGAAACACACAAGAGGTCCAAGGGAGTGGGGAGGTGAGGGCGCAGATGAAGATGGAGACACACAGCACAGATCTCATTCTCCCCGTGGTGGTATCAGCTATGTGTGCCCTACCTAAAGACCTCCCCCTGCTACTGCATGATCTTTCATCTGGCCTGGTTCCAGGACACACAAGTTTTCCAGCAGAGGCTGGGCCTGCATTATTCAGGGCCTACAACAGTGCCTTAATGCAAATGAACACAACAGAAGCAGCTCCCGTGCGATTCACACACGCAGGAAGCTGCCCTCTTTGGAACAGATGCCAGATTCTTTCTCCAACCCCAGAGAGAAAGGCTGAAGCCAGAAACCACAGGGTTTTGTTTCTAAAATTTATTATTTTTATTGGACAGGTAGATACACAGAGAGAAAGAGCTTCCATCCACTGGTCCACTCTCTTAAGTGGCTGCAACGGCCAGAGCTGAACTGTCTGGAAGCCAGGAGCAAGGAACTTCCTTCAGATCTCCCACACAGGTGCAGAGTCCCAAAGTTTTGGGCCGTCCTTGACTGCTTTCCCAGGCCACAAGCAGGGAGCTGGATGGGAAGTAGAGCAGCCAGCATACGAACTGGTGCATTATAAAAACGAATGGCGCACATATGGAATCCTGGTGGATGCAAGGCAAGGATTTAGTCACTGGGCTACCGTGCTGGGCCTGAAACCACACTGTTGATCCTTTGCACCCTGGGTCTTTCATGCCCCTCCTCTGAATGCATCAGCAAGCCATATGCAGAGAAATGTGGGACCACGCTGCAACTCAGCACACGCCTGGGAGATGAAGTCTGAAGATCTGGTGACCTGGGCTGCCCTGAGACAATAGGTTCCAGCCCTGTTTTTCACCAGCTCTCTGGCGGAAGTGCTGTGTTCCAGCATGGTCACTGCTCCACAGTGCTTGTGAAGTTACAGAAGAGCCATAAATCAACAGATTGGAATGAGGGAGAATACTATCAGAGCACTTCACAAAGATCATGGAAAACAGGAGCAAAAAGCTGCAAAGAGGATTTGGAATCCAAACAAAGCTTCTCTACGAACTTATTTTTAAGACCCCTTTTGTGTAACATAAACTCAGAAGTGTTAAGTGGAAGAGGATTCTTTGGGCCTCGTTAATAACACAGGACAAGGGCCTGGCACGATAGCCTAGTGGCTAAATCCTCGCCTTGCATGTACCAGGATCCCATATGGGTGCTGGTTAGTGTCCCAGTTGCTTCACGTCCCATCCAGCTCCGTTTGTGGCCTAGGAAAACAGTCTCGGATGGCCCAAAGCCTTGGACCCTGCACCCATGTGGGAGACCCGGAGGAAGTTCCTGGCTCCTGGCTCCAGATCAGCTCAGCTCCAGGCTGTTGCAACCACTTGGGGAGCGAACCAGCAGATCTCTCTGTCTCTCCTCTCTGTATATCTGCCTTTCCAATAAGAACAAACAAATCTTTAAAACAAACAAACAAACAAGCAAAAATGCACGACGAACATACCCTTCAGAGTATTGACCTTCTCCTAAATGGGAAACAAGGCTGCTTGGAACTGACATGAGAATCCAGTCTGTGAATGTCAGCCTTGACCTATGCCCCTTGATCATGGTCTGTACATGTCACCTACAACCTAGGCAGCCTTGACCCATGACCTTTGATCATGGTCTGTACATGCTCATTGGAAGAGACACTGAAACCCAAATCAACTCAAAACCCTGAACAGAAATGCAAAAAAACAAGCATACCACCAAATGGAAAATCATTTATTTCAAAAATCATACTTCCACTCATTATGTAGACAGTCGCATGAACCCACCGAATGTGAGAAAGCCAAGTTTCAGAGGCCATTTGACAGGAATTGCATTGTCTTTATAGATATGTTTAGTGACACAAAAGCACAGTTACTCAAAAGCCAGAACACAGAAAAACAGTTCTGCTCATAACAGGGAAAAAGTTCTATTCCAGCCACAGGTGACTTTTAAATTACAGAATTGGATTCCATGTACCAGTCAACAGTCAATACTGAACTGACAGCTAAAACAGTGCATTATTTACGTTTTTTAAAAGAAAACATTAAAGTGCCATTTTATAAGTACTTTATTGATATTATATTACACAGCACTTTACTGTATACTCAAAGGTAGCCTCAATTATGAATTAAACATGCAAATATTTTCTTTTGCCAAAACGTGGACAAGATGTCTTTTAGAGTGCTTTTGAACACTAGTCTAGCAATAGCTACTAAGTGTTTATGGGTTTCCTTTTTTTTTCGCATGTTTTTTCTTAAAAAAAAATAAGTTAATAATGAATCTAGCTGCAGATAGAAACTGCTGGATAAATACGAACATGGTTCAGTCAACAGCCTCTCTTCTTTCTCTAATTCTCTAACTCTGAATTCTCTAGGCTGTACAGGCTCGGCAATTGCCAGCTCATGGGGTGGGGAGGAGTTGGTGTGAGGCCATATTTTTACCTAAGTAAGTATGCACCACACACACACACAGGAACACATATCCTCTGACAGAATCATCACATGGATTTTTTTCACCGACGCAGGGTTGTCCTGGCATCGGGATGCCCAAGAAAGCAGTATGAAGGTGTCCATTTGAACAATTTTGTAGAAATGGTTGATGCAAAGCAGCTCAGGATGTGCTAGCCTGTCCAGAACTGCTAGGAACAACACTGACATTTTGGTTCTCTCTGACTCTGGTGCCACAGCAGTAACCAATGGCTACCTTTCCCTGGGACTCTGTGACTGCACCAAGCGTTGGCTCTCTGAAGCATTCCGCCTTAAAAGATATAGACTTGTTTGTAACATCTTGGGACACTTGATAATCATTAGGTGTCAACCTTTCCTGGGATAGTTCTTTTTTTTTTTTCTTGTCATAATGAACACTATTTATCATTCTAAAAGAACAAACAGGGCCTGGCATGATAGCGTAGTGGTTAAAGTCCTTGCCTTGCATGCGCCTGGGATCCCATATGGTCACCGGTTCTAACCTCAGCGGCCCTGCTTCCCATCCAGTTCCCTGCTTGTGGCCTGGGAAAGCAGTCAAAGTCGGCCCAAAGCCTTGGGACCCTGCATCCACGTGGGAGGCCTAAAAAAGGCTCCTAGCTCCTGGCTTTGGATTGGCTCAGTTCTTGCCATTGTGTTCACTTGGGGAGTGAACCATCGGATGAAGATCTTCCTCTCTGTCTCTCCTCCTCTGTATATCTGACTTTCCAGTAAAAATAAATAAATCTTAAAAAAAAAAAGAAAAAACAAAAGCAAAAAGGCCTGTTCCTTCTCACCACCTCTGGTATGATTCACTTGTGAACACTTTTTCTCTCAAGAATACAGGTGCTTCTATCAGAGGTCAGATTTCAGCAAGGACTGGCTCTGAAAGACACAGCCTCTCCCTCTGCTTTGGGAAGCTCTTCACTTAGAAGAGTACTGTAGGCGGCAAAAGGAAAAAAGCTAATTATGACTGGTTGCAGCTTTATCTCAGCCATGCCATAGGACTGTGTAAGGTTTACAGCTCTACTGCTGCTGGCATTTTGATGCCACAATTACAGAGAAGCAATTCAGCCCTGAGCACATCCTTGTGGCTGTCAAACATTTTTGTGCAAGACCAGATACACGTTTTAGCACCAGCACAGGGTGTATGAAGAAGTGCCCAATTGACTTGAAAGAAGTGAGGGTCAGGGTTGTCGAGGTAATTGATTAGGTCAGATTGGCCAGAGATGGCCGAGAGCTCCCTGCATGGGACACCTGGGACAGTCCTTCTAGGAAGTTAAGAGGTTGCTTGGTTTCTTCCGCACTGGCTGTTCAACTTGGGTAACATGCTCACTCAACATTCATTACAGGTCATCCCATACCTACAAAATGCCATATTCCTGGCTTGTTTTTGGAAAGACAGAGGACAGAAGGTGCCTGACGACAGTCACAGAGAGGCTATCTTTAGCTTTCATAGTCTCCCAGCCCTCAATTGCCCATGCCTGGGGTGGAGTGGGAGAGTTTCTGGAGTGAAAGGAAAGGAAAGCTTCTAGTATGCCTGGGATTGCCGCCTTTGAAACACAGATTCAGTCAACAGAAGGCCTCCCTTCTGAGCCACAGCACATGCACACTCACGATTCAGACATCCTGGACAAGTGCCCGAGATGACCTTGTCACTAGTATGACTGTCCCAATGCCAACCTACCACTTCATCGCTCATTTTCTGTCTTCACATCCCTGTCCAAAAACCACTCAGCAAGAAGGGATACACTGAAGTTATGTGGAAAATAAACAGTTTGCTCCAACGTCACACAACACATATTGGCTGCAGAACTACCAACCGCTCTGAGCTAGAACCTGGCTTCCATTCTAGGATACTAAAGGAGGATGCACTGTACGGGACTCATCTCTGTGGGTTTATCTTGGAAAACAGAACAGAATATTCTCCATCAGGAGCAAGCCAGTTTTTCACTTGTATGGGGGCAAGGACTTAGAGCTTATTATCTCCTCATGGCATGGCTTTCTCAAACTAAGGCGTCACAGGTGCCTGAAGGAGGAGAAAGCACTTGATCTTCACACTCCCCAAAGACTCCATGGGTTACTGACCACAAGGCCTTATGAAGCCAACTTGAGGCTCCTGGGAGAGCTCAGGGAGACTTAATTTACACCCACGGGCTGCCCCAACATTCCCCATTAAGCAGACAGTGTTAGGAATAGGGAGCATGGATACTGAAATCTATTTTCAGTCTTCCAGTTCCTTCCTACTGGCTGGCTCACATCCTGAATAATTCCTATGGCTCTGTGGCGAATGGGGAGGAGGAGAGCCTGGCGGAACAACGGGAGACAGAGTGACCATCTGTCACAGGCCTGGTGTGGCCTCAGCGAAGCAGGGGAGGGGCTTACCTAACAGATCCCATCAAGAGCAGCTCCAAATCAGGGCCACTCAGGAGGGAGAGACAGGCTAGGCTTCCAAGGACTCAAGCTTTGGGCCAAGTGTCTATAGGTCTGCTTTAGTAAGTCCTGAAGCAGGGCCTTTGGCTTCTGCCTCTCTATATTAAATCCAGTTAAGACGTCAATAGGGCAAGGGCCAATTTGAAAGGTCAAATGTGTTAAAACCATTATGTTGGGCTCTTGTAACTTGGCAAGTAGCCCACTACGTGAGTGTGCACAGCCCACAGGGAGTCCATGTTTCCTTGCTTCCCATTACAGTGCCTGAGTAGAGCGAGGCGTGTTAACGTAGTCCCCTTCCTCTTGGGTTCTCAATGACACATTTCTTGAAAACAACCTCAGCCTTGTCCATTCTTAATTCTTCCTCCCTGATTCAATGGTCGGGTCTCACTGGCGTCCAGCTGAGTCCCTGGAGAGTCACTGTATAATCCTTGAGCTGATCACAGCCACCAGCCCCTGCTAGCTTTAAAGCTATCATGGCACAATCTCTACTCTTCTACCTCTTCAGGGGTTCCATGGAGTGCGGAGGTGAAAGGAGAGAACACACACACTGTTGAGCAAAAGGGAAAGCAGCCGCGTATCCAGGACTCAAGATTCTGAGCAGTCAGTCCTGGTTTAGAACTCACATGTGCGTAACACTGCAGGCTAGCTCAGCCTCAGTTGTAAAGCCTTAGACGTGGAGAGAGAGAGAGAGAGAGAGAAGCAGGGGACACGTCAGTTGTTGCAGCTCCTCCATCCTGATACTGGGGCGAGGGTAGTAGTGAGAAACACACCTGAGAAGAAAAGAAGTCCTACTTCCGGCCTCATTTAGTTAAATCCTGAGCTTTGTCTCACAACTAAGTAGGCATTCTTTGAAAACTTGTGGCCTGAAGATGCTCTTCCCTCTCCAAACCCGAAGTGCAAGAGATGCTGAAGATCTTGGTGGAGGAAGAAGACAGAAAGCTGCCAGCCCTCCGGCCCCTCGCGAAGCCTGAGACAGTGAGTGGTGCAGCAGCTCTTCTTGCAGACCATGGCAGCATGGTGATCCTGACTCTACCCCTTGCCTCCTCTCCTCTCTCAGCCACACTGGCTCAGCAATCAAAGCCCAAACGTGAGTAACAACTAGCTTAAAGAGTATCAAATATAAAACTTTGCCATATAGTATTTCAAATCACTCTATTTACAAGTTTATCTTTTTTTTTTCAAAAAAAAAAAAAGCAAAAGATACAGTAAGTCAACACAATTCAAGTTTTTCTCTCCTTTTTTATAGTTCTCTAGCGAGGAGTTCCAGAAGCAGGGGACACTCTTGCCCGTCCACCTGTATGGAGCTGGTCTGTTCAGAGCTGCTCCTAAAAGGACTCTTCCTTGCAGAAGATGCGGGAACTCTGTTCTTTGGCAGTCCATGGCAAGATGTCCAGAGGGACCCCTCCATCCAAGGCGGTCTTCCACAGGCCCAGCCTCTTCTCACTGGAACATTTGGATTCTCAGAAGAAATCCATTTCATTCTCCCTGTTCCAATCTTGGGATCTTCCTGAATTACAGTGCCAATGACACTCATGCATCAGATTCCCCAGGAAACACGTCCCTTTTTCTGAGTGGCAGTGAATGCAGATAATCCTTTTAAACTCTTGCTCAGTTACCCAGAAAGCACTTCTAAAAACCACAGGGCACCAGTGCCCAGTGGCCCAAAGGACTGCAAGAGGCCTGGTGAGTGACAGGCTGGTGGGGGGAGCAAGTGAAAGCAAGGACATGAGGGACCCAGCAAGCAAAAGGATGGTGCCAGCCACTGCGAGGAAGCTTCTTCTCCTGTGGAAAGCTAACACCATCTGCATGGAAGAACAGAGGTACGAGACCTGTATATAACTGAATCTCAAGAGGTCACTAGGGTTTGCTCCAAATACAAAAACTCATCAGAAAGGGCAGAGCTTCTAGCCGTTCTCCTGCCTATCCTAGATAGACCACCTTCATTTCGTTATCCTCTTAGGAAACCATTCAAAAAACTACCAAGAAGGAGGTAGGAAGGAGGATGTGTCACGCAAAAAAAGAGTACAATATTTTCTGGAGGTTGGTTTATGAGTAGGCTGGGTTGTCATGGTTACCAGATGATGGCGGCCCTTGGTAGCCGAGAAAGCTTGGATGGGGTCAGGGGTGATACAGGGACATGGCGTGAGTGTGTTCCCTTGCATGAGAGGACTGGATTGAATTTTGCCACTGACAGGCCAGTGGAGACTTGGGAGATGGGGAAAAGATTGGATCTTGCATAAACAGTGCCGTAACCCCTCCCTCTCCACCCTGTATGCAAATAGACAGACCCAGCTGCCCGCAGCACTGTGGGTCTCAGGTATTTAGAGGAGGGAAAGAGAGGGTGTCTACTGTAAACAAAAGCAACAGACCCAGCCTGGACCCCAGTGTCAGTTTCCCTGCCTAGCCCCGCTGGCCTTTAGTATGCTGTGTGTTCCTGGCAACTCCTTAAAGCTCACTTGCTCTCTAAAAAGGATGGGGATTTGGATGACAGTTGAGACAAAGGAGCACTTCCTATTTTGGGCACCCAGGAGACACCGGCTTTGCAAGTCTTTCTCTGTGTCACAGAAATCAAATGGCCTCTGCGGGTTGACGTCTGCTTCTTGTGGCAACACTGAGTGTCAGCTGAGATGACGGCGGTGATGGGTAACTTGAGAGTCCACAGAAACAGGTGCATCAACAGGTAGCCACAGTCACCTGCGATTCTCAGTGGCAAACAGAAATGGCCTACGACACTGGAGTCAGCGGTTGTCATGGATACCATGTAAAGCTCAGCAGTTCTGCTGGGGCCCATGGTTAGAGGAACTCCACGTAGTTCTCAGGGATGAGGCCAGTCTTCCCGTTCAGAGTCCCCTCCAACCAGCCAGGCTCCTGAGATGGATGAACTGTACAGGAAGGAGAGACAGCAAGAAGAGATGCCGTTAAGCAGGGCTGGAGGGGTGTGTGTGCTGTGTGCTGTCTTCATGAAGACAGTGAGGAGCGTAGGGGCAATTACTGAGCAGGTTACATAAGCCTAGGACTTGTTTTAATCAGAGGTTCTTAAGCCTTTTGGATAGGAATATGTTTCCTGATGAAACTTGTTTTGTGTTTTTCTCCACAAAAAAAAAGGCGAACAGCCAGAGACATCCAAAAATTTGCCCACAACATTAACGCTTTCATGAATTTTTGTTTTCTTTTTATTTTTTAAAATTTTTGTTTTCTTAAAAGTTCCTGGTTTATGCTACGAGAAGTAGCAAATTTCTGCTTTCTAGTTTAAAGACCAACGGTAGTATTGCTCCAATTACATTTGTATTCACCCATTCATCCATTCACCATCTACTTCGCCAGCATCAACAAGGTATCCAGAAAAATGCCACAGCACTCTGCTGAGAACTAGTGTCAACTGATGCGTAGTTCCTGGTCATACATTTTCCTTTCCTTTCCTTGCTGCTCCCTGCTTCAAATTTCCTTGCCAGTACCCTAGAATTTAAAATTTAATTTTACAAACTTAGAACAGTCTTTTTTTTAAAATAAAATTTATTTTGACATTCTTTACATAGTTCATTAGGGTAAGAAGGTTCAAGGGCTACAGGAAAGTGGATAATACTAGTAAGTTTTCCATATCGTTACCTTCATGTTTAAAGTGGGGTATTAAGGGAGAAGGCCCACCCAATTTCCCACCCTCCCCAGAACAGTCTTCTTTTCCATCTACAGCCTTTCTTGGTTTTCTTTCCTGTTCTCCAGAATGTTCCCCCTACGTACAGATCTGAAAGCTGTCCTCTTTACTGCAACATTCAAAATTACTGCCTCTTAGATTTTTCAATATCCAAATAGCCAACCATTCTGTGACATCATGATCCAGCTCCATGGAAACTGGAGGATTATATAAGGTCCAGCTGAGTGTGCAAAGTAGTCAACAGCAGGGAGGCAGAAGGAAGGAATTGAGGGACTAGGAGCTGGAGGCTACTTGTGCATGGGAACCAGCAACACGCAGCTCACTGCAGGGTGAGGCGGGGCATCTACTTTCAGCCTCTCAGGAAAACTCTAATTTTCCGAGATTGTTTGGAGAAAATGAATTTTCCCCTATTCCCTTCCTGTGCTAATTAAGTGACTTCCTGAGCTTGTTTTAGAAAAGCATTTCCGTCCCAACACAACTGTGTCATTCTAGTTTCGGTTCAGAGGGAAAGAAGCAGGAACAGAAACCAAAGAAAGAAAACAGGGAGGCAGCAGAGGGACAGGCGCGGAGCCCCAGACCAGATCCATGTCAAACTCGTTGGGACCTGGATCACTTCCTCGGGAAGAGACAAGGCCAAAGAGTTGGCCTCCATAATGCTTGCACAACTTCCCATCAGGAGGCTCCAGGAATAACCCAGGGCAGCAAAGACACATGGATTCACAACTCACAAACAGAAAACTCAGAAGGATCATGGGAGAACACACCCAGCTCTCCAACAGCGAAGCTCTGTCGTGCCAACACCCAACTTCTGGGTCCTCTGCCCACCACTCAGCACAAGCCATTAACATCACCTCCATTTCTGGACCTCTTAAATGGTGACCAAGAAACTCCGTCCCCTTTGGTGGGTTTTCATCAGGAGGACCACAGGAACCCGTGTGGGTGAAATACTGTGCACAGAGTCAGACATGGTAAATGCTTGCGATGGGCCTGTGTACAGTGAGTCCTGTGCTACTAGCACAGGTCAGCTTGCCCCCGTCTGGTGACACTGCGGTAAGTGCCTGGTCTAGCAGCTTCAGTGATCCTCAAACACTGAGGGTGAAAACAAACACAGCTGGTCTCCAGAATGAAACTTAGGAAGCAGAACCTCAACACATAATCAAAAAACCAGGGGGAAAGAACCTAGCAAGGACCCCGCATGTTCAAGAACCTAGCAAGACCCTGGGACTCCTGAGTCTACCTTCTCCTGACTTCTCTCTCAGTGGCCAGGTCCCCAGGGAGTCATGCCCACAAATACTGGAGCAGGACTCAAGAGACCATGGGAGGAGGAGAATCGCTGAAGTGTGGTCCTGACAGCTGTGGGTCAGATTTGAGGACTGACGGAAGCTGTAAAGCCAAGGCTTTCTCTCAAGCACAGCACCAGACCTTGGGCATAAGGATCATCTGGGTGCTGATTCTAAAACTGCAGAGGCTCAGGCTTCCCAGCAGAACATTCAAAGCCAACATCCAGGGAGGGACACCACGAAACAAGCATTTTAATTGACTCATAGGAAGTTTAAAGTCCTGGTTTTTCAGTGCCCAAATATCTCTTAAAGAAAAATCATCGTTAGTTTTCAAATGCAAATTCTCATTTCCTCATGGAAGACCTGATACCCCTCCCTGCTTTCCACTGTCTTCCATGACCTGTCTCGCACTTGAAGACATAGGTGAAGCCCTCCTCCTTTCTAAGTGGCATTGGAACATCCCTGCCACCTGCGCCCCGCTTATCTAGGCTTGGACAATACTCCCAGGTCATCCCACAGGGAGTGGTTGGGGGCCCTATTAATGTGCTGGGCAAATGTATTAAGCTTGGCTTTTCTCATTTCTCGTCGCATTTTACCTTGTTTCACAGCACTCCTTGGCTGCACCACTTGCAGTAACTCCCTCTGCCTCTGGGTAATGATACCTGCTAATACTTAAGAGATGCTGCCAGGAGGCAGGTATAAGCTCAGACATTTAACTAAACTGACTGCTATGCTTTCCATTACTGATTCCAGCTTCTGCTATTATTACCCTCATTTAACAGGAGAGCAAATGAAGGTGCAGAGATATTCAGTATGGTCTTGGCAGGTTAAGCTGCACCAATGCCTACTTCTCAGCCTACATTCAGGGAGCTACAGAAGCACACAAGCTTCCTGCTTACCACTCCCTCTTAGCTCTAGCCTAAGAACCACCAGGCATTCTACATCCATAACTCCTGTTCTCCTCCTCCTTATTCACTGTGGGCAAGCAGCCAATGTGTTAGCAGCACCAAGAAAGGCTGGCTGCCCCAAGGCAAGAAGTCCTAACTACCTAGGTCTCTATATAGTAAAGATGAGTTTGCTCCTTTAACAAATACAGGCATTCACTATGCACCAGACCCTGCACGAGGTCCTTGCACACACAAGAGAGGGAGCTGCCAGAGCCTGTTCCTGGGACAGGAAAACACACACAAAGTTGTCACTTTAGGCAAGGGTGAGATAGGAAGAGATGGAGAAGGCAGGGGCAGGTGGGGACGAGCTGCAAAAGTCAGAGCCTCAATGATATAAAAGAGTCAGTCAGGCAACGTGTGTGAACCCTGCAAAAAGCAGGGACCACCTGGGAACCGGGAACAGGGAACTGCTAAGTTTTCTCAGGAGGCTGTCGGTAAATTCGCTTTTCTGCTCAGCAAGTAGAAGTGCCACAGAAAGGCATTGGCTGTATCCCAATAAAGCTTTATCAATAAAAACAGGGGACAGGTTGGACTTGATGGGCAGTTTAAGGGGTGCTGACTCTATTTGAGAATTTTAGGCCTGCAAGGCTGTAGTGTGTCCCTGAGGGCAGAAGGTCATAGGAGCCCCAGAGGAGACTGAAGTTACCCTGGGACAACGGGAATCCAATGGAGTATTTAAAGCAGGTAGGTAACAAATGCAGCTTCCTTTTTCAAAGATGGTTGGGGCAGATGTGTGGCTAGGGTATCATGAGGGCAGGCGTGGACGCAGGGCCACATGCCAGGAGGCAGGTGGGGAGGCCTATGTGAGAGGTGGAGTTGGCCTGGGTGTGGGTGTGCACGGAGTGGGGGCTGTGGGAGAGCAGTCTGGGAGCCCCATTTCCTGGGCAGCTTAATGTCTCCCTGGGAAGCTGGGTGGCTCTCCATCAGCAAAGGCAGCAGGGGCAGCCCCTCTGGCACTGGCACTGTGCCTAGTGCCAGGGAAAGGAAGGAAGGAAGGATGGGCATCAGCTCATCTCCAGTCTTGAGTATCCCAAGAACCCAATTTGAGTGACAGCCACGCGAGTTTTCCAGGTATTACACAGCACGTGGCTCGTGGATGACTCATGTTCCAGAGAACATAAGCTTTCGCTCTTTCCACTTAATGTGTGAGGCATTCAAGCGGGCAGTTTCCTAGTAGTCTGGCCAGGGCTGACGCTGGAGACTTCCGAGTACTGCATGTCCACTCCCCCAGTGCCCAAAGTCCAGGCGCTGACTTAAGCAGCTGCTGCAGAGGCACACCCGGACCCCTGCACATCCAAGGCTTCGAGACTGTTCATCAGGAACCCAGAGTTGCTCTGCCATATGCCCTCCTCTTCAATCCTAGAACAAACACACACACACACCCTACCTGTCATGAGCAAACCTGTCATTAGGAAATTAGGAAACCTTCCTCTGACCAGTCCTGTGATTGACAGGTATGCAGCATCCACATTAAACAGGCCTTACCTAATACCTTGAGCTACAAACTAACAAGAGATCCGACAAGGATCAAAGCACGCACCACCCCCAGCACCTGACGCGGTATTCATTTTTTCTCTCACAAGGCCTGTTTTCCTCCTCCAGAGGTGGAGGGAGTTGGGAGGAAATAGGTTACAGGTAGCAGCTTCCTCATGAACAGGCGCTCATAAAACCCTATCAGGCCAAGCAATCTAGATGGTGGATTAAAGTTTCATCAGCTCCATCTCTCCTACTGCTGTCTGCTCCATCATCGCTGAGAAGTGCTCGCCTGTGGGTTCCCTTTGGCCCGGCTGGTTACAAACTCGCATCCGTGGACTCTGCCATGGCTCCCAGACACCACGGGAGGGCTTAGGCAAGACCTCTGACTCACCACCCAGGCATCTGAACTGCTCTCCCAGATCATTAAAGGATTTCTGGTGAGGACCGCAGGTGTGCGGGTGTGTGTGCACACATGCATACATGCCGGGAAGGACAGTACACAGTCCCCAGAAGTCACCTTGCTGTCTGTTTTGTTCTGTGCATGTTTAACACCTTAAGGTACTTGAAACAGGGGACTTAAGAAGGAAAGAATGTGGGAATGTAAAACGGCTCAACTACTTGGCCAAACAGCTGGGTACTTCCTCAAAGAGTCAGACACAACATTACTCTGTGTGTCCACAATTCCAGTCAGGGGTATATTCCCAAGGAACTTTAAAGTGTGTGCCCACAAAGAAACCTGGTCCTGAACATTCAAAGCAGCATGATTCAGAACAGTCACAAAGTGCCAATCATTAGGACGCCCACCAATTGACAGAAACTGGGAGACGACACAGACTATCCATGCCCTGGAATATTACTCAGTCATGGAAACGAATGAGGCTCTGATGCAAGTTATCAGATGGATGAACCTTGAGAACATCATGAGACATGAAGGGAAAAAAATCCAGTTACAAAGATCATACATGATATGACTGCATTCACATGAAACGTCCAGGATAGGCAAAGCTACAGACAGAATGTAGACTGGCAGCTGCCTGGAAGGAGGAGGAGATCAGGGGGAATCGGGCCTTGCTGCAGATGACTCTGGGGCTTCATAGCATAGCTGGGAGTATACCCCAAAACTACTGAGTTTTACATGTTATATTGGTTAGTTACATGATATCTGATATTTAATTAGAGCTGTTGGACCCATGAAAGGAGACTGCACTCAACAAAAGGAGTCACAAATTGCAAGTCTGACCCAACTCTGCCCCTGTGTTCAAGGGTTCTTTGTGTAATCTGGGTGAATAGCTAAAGGACCATGGTGGCCCATGACAGTAGTGCAATGGGGCTTAGAGGACAGACCCTGAAGGGATCTCTCAGCCCTGCTCATTAACACACAGAAGCTCCTTCCTTGCTGTTCCAGCAGGTCACAGGAGCCTGGGTCATATATTGTCTTCTGCTGTATCATGAACTGGCTGGGCTGGGCTAACAGCTCATGGGTCTTGATTTCCAAAAAAGCCAAGTGAGAACAAACAGAGCTAAGGCTGAAGGGCAGTGCTCAGAGAGCTGTAAGAAGAGACGCAGATTCCAAAGGACCCTTGGGCTTCTGGATCCCACTCCTGTTGGTCTAGTGCTGTGTGACCTAGCAATCTCCTACAGCCCTGTGCCACATCTCCCATGCCTGATCTACATCTATGGCAAGTTACACTCAGAGGCATGCACCTAGGCGGCAGACCCTCTGGATGAGAGTGCAGCCAAGGGCTATTCCCCAGAGGCCTGCAGTACCAGTATCTTTTGTGACATATCTGGACAAAATGACGATGATGGTGGTGCCAAATCTTCATGCTCACAGCATACGAAATATTTAATATGTAGTAGGGCACATAGAGCCCTATGCCACTGCTAGAGGTCACATAAGAGACAGTGGTCAAGCCCAGGCATGCAGTTGGCAGCCACACTGGCACACTTAGAGTTCAGGCTCTGTAACCCTGGGCAGGTGACAGGGCTCCCCACAGGCACATGGGGTGCTTGTGCAATGCTTACTCACTCCTGCCTGAAATCCCTACCTCCTCACTGGGGATCCCATTGAGCTCCCTACTTCCTCAATACTGGGGAAGCAGCCACACAAACTGTCCAATTGATATAGCTGGAAAGTAGCTTGGACTTCCTCGTTTCAGCAAATCAGAGCCAATTCCTATTTAAGGATCCAGAGAGATAACCAAGGAAGCCATCACACGGGGAAAACTACGCTGACACACAAACTTTTTTCTTCAGTCTCCAGACTTTCCTCTTAGGCAAATAAGTTAAAACAAACTCTGATAATGGTTTTTTTCTTTAAAAAGAAAAAAAAAAGATTTTGTTTTGTTCTTTGAAGGGAGAAGAGCAGAGAGGAAAAAAAAAAAAGAAAAAGAAAAACCAGAAGAAAATGGTGCATGAATCAAGTACTAGATCCCAGCTTGTACCTGCTAAGAATTCACTCTTGCACCAGGACACCACAGCAGGGAGACTGGCAGTTTGTAAGGTGGTCAGACTATGGGGTGGGCTGTGCAGCTGTTCCAGAAGTGGAAGGGCAGATGGACAAGGGCGTGGCAAGGCTCACTGCCTCAATGCCTGCCAGAGACCCTGCTACCAGGGACACCCATCTGGGCTGCTGGGGAGAGATGTCATGGAAGTCAAAACAAGATGTCACAGAATTGGTGTCAGTCTCATCCTGTGCTCCTGACCAATCACAGCCCAGCCAGTCCTCCACTCTACTGTCTTACTCTGGCCAGCCTCCAGATGTGCAAGTACTATTGCTAGGCACTGTGTGCAACCTCATCTCATGTTTAGACGATCTGACAGTCAACTGATTACACATGTCTGTGCCTCCTGCTCCTTCTTGGTGCTCTGCTGCTGTTCTCTTATTTTGGGAACACACACACACACACACACACACACTCATCCATTCTACTGAGGCTTTTCCCAAGCAGTAATTTTGAAGACACCAGTTCCTTCTTTCCTTCTCCCCCAGCCCACCTCCACATCTTGGCAAAGGGATGAGACACTCACCATTATCGAAGACCGTGCCTGCCGTGAAGGAGAGTTCGGAGTCGTGTTCAGCTTTGCAGGCATACAAGGCTTGTGCCTTCCGGAATGGTGTGCTGCATGGAAACACGAGTTCTTTAACATCCTTTTTTATTAACCCCCACTGCAAAGCTCCAGTTATTTAGCCTCTCTTCCTCCCTTTCTCTGTAAGTCACCTAGGCCAGATTTGTGGCAAAGCCAGGTAGGGTGGCCAGATGGCAAGACAGGAGGTGGGAAAGTTGCAAAGGTCAGAGGAGAAAAATGAAAAATATTCAGAGAGAGGCCGAGAGTTCCAAAACACCAGACTTCTTGTGGGGTCACCTTGTGCCACACACAGTCCCTGTGAGCTGCCACGGATGAAGGGTGAAAGGGCAGTTTGGGCCCCAGGGTCAGGGCAGGTGTACCTGGGGGCTGAGTAGGGAGTAGGGGCAAAAAAAAACATTCCAGCTGTCCCAGGGAAGTTGGATGAAAGGGGGACAACACTCACTGAGAGTGAAAAAATTAGAAACTCTAGTAAGGCCAGGTTTGGGCCTAGATGTTGCTAATTTAGTCCCAGGCTGGGTCTTAATGTGGGAACAGGACTCCAGACGTGGTTCTCCCCAGAACCTCCAGCAGGTCAGGAGACACAGAAGGGGCGTGTGAGAGCAACTATACTACGTGTACAGTACAGGGCATTTGGTAGGTATACTATGTGTGTGTATGAGCACACATGCACAGCCAGGTAGGAAGGAAGAAGGATGGGGAGAGGACAGGGTGTGCATTTCTTGTCCTCGTGTCCATGAGTGCTGGCAGAGATGCTCACTTGGGCACTGGAATCACATGTGCAGTACTCAGAAAATCAGGTGTCTTGGTTCTATGGATCTGCAGATGCTGCAGAGGTACACACAGGCACGGGGACTCCCACAGCAGCCACAGAGTAAATATATGTCTTGTGGGTTGGTTGCATTGTTCAGCTCTGCATCATAGTACACATGCAACCATGGGGCGACATGTAAACAAATCTTCATGGCTGTGTTCCATAAAGCTTTATCTAAGGAAAGCTGGCAGGGGGCTGGAAGGGACCCATTACAAGCCATGGTTTGCTAAGGTGCTCTGGAGAGTCATTTGTGTGAGCTGGTCAGCATAGTTAGTTTCTCTCAATAACTGCTTTCATGTCTTCTGGTTTTAAATAATCTAGAGATTTCTCTTGAGTCACAAGAATGATGCCTCTCAGGGTCTGCACTGGTGGCAAGGTGGTGTCAGGAGCTGATGCTCAGAAGCAAAGTCGGGCCATCAGACATGGAACACAGGCATCCTAACTGGGATCTTGGGCACTGGATGGAATGCCCATCTTTGACCTTTCAATCCAAGCTTCCACAGACTGTTTCCAAGTGCTCTCGTATTCTCCAAGTATTGTCTGGGATATCCACAGACTAAAAAAGAAACCATTTGCTGCTAATCTATAATTCAAAATTTACCTGGATCTGGAGCATTTTCATCTTATTTGCAAAATGTGGCAGGTCCATTCTCCCCTCACCCCAGGGTGGCGGGGCGAAGGGTGGGGAAAGCTTGGTCTCTTTAAGAGGAGGTTGGGCCCACAAGCCTAGTGCCCCATCCCAGAACTCCTTCTCAAAAGCGAGGGAGTATGCTTTAGGCAGAGTTCTCATCCAGATGGACAGATCCTGTTGGCAGAGAGGCTCTGTTTAGAGGCCCTGGCCCCGAGGAGGAAGAGAAAAACTCCCTGGCAAGCACCTTTGGTTCCTTGGTTCCTTGTCTCTCTGGCTCATGGCTCTCTGCTCTCTGCAGTGCATCTCCACACTGCGATGGTTTCAGCGGCTCCTGTCACAACGCCCTTCAGACCTTAGCTGGGCCTTCAAGGTTGTGGGCAAGTTTGGAGCCCTTTCTCTTAATATTTCATCTTTGAGCAAGGCATGAGGCCAGGAAAGCACTCGGAAAAGCTTCCCTCAAATGCCCTTACAAGCCTTGCACAATGACGGACCACTCGCCAACATGTGGCAATCAGGGTGGGGGTTGGGGTGGGGCACAGTTTATCATTTAGGCACTACTTCCAGGGGATCCTGGGTACCCACAAGTTACAGGTTTGTGGCTAGCAACTTTTTGAGAGTGGGGTGCAAGGGAAAGAAAGAAGGATTGTGCAGGTACTACTCCTCTAGTGTCCTTTTTGTGATGTGCTTCATGAGCCAGAGAGACTTCTGCAGGGGCCAGTACTATGGCCCCAGGTGAAAAAGCTGCCCTCTGCAATGCCAACATCCCATATGGGAGTGCTGGTTCCAGTTTTGGCTGCTCTACATCTAGCTGCTTGCTATCATGCCTGGGAAGAAGCAAAAGATGGCCCAAGCACCTGGGCCATCCTCGTGGGAGACGTGGATGGAGTCCCGGGTTCCTGGCTTTGGTTTGCTCTGGCCCCAGTTGTTGCAGCCATCTGGGAAGGGAACCAGTGGATGGAACATTTCTCTGTCATTTTACCTTTCAAATACACAAAAATAAGTGTCCCTTCACCTTATAGGTTGAACAGATACACTTTTAAAATGATGTGATGAAGGGAGAAGCAGCCTTTTCCAGGGGAGGAACGTGCACAAGCTCATGGGACCACTGCATTGATCTTTCTGGAATTTATCTGTGAAACCTCTGCCCAGGGAAGGAAACTGAAGCTTCATGCTCTGGTTGGGGGTGGAGTCTGTCTTGTGGAGGGGAATATTGCATCTCAGTATGGGTCAATGCCCCCATTTCTTGGCTGCACCCTACAGTGGCAGTTAGGGCATTTCAGGTCTCTCTGTTCCTGACAGGTCAGCTCCCCAGCAGTGCCCATATCTGTGTTCACCTTGGCACATGCATTTAGCTCAGCGATTGCAAAGTCCAAGCCCCATTCTGCTTTGCCTGTGTCAACAAGGCAGCTTCCAAAAGACTAAGAAACCACCTTGTCCAATCAATGCTATTCTAACAATGCTCAGAGGGGGCAGTACAGAGTAACCACGTTGTCAAATATACCAGGCAAACATTCTGTCCTCTGCCAATGCAGAAATACTTCGGGAGGTGGTGAAGACGAGGGGAAAATATAAAACTTTCTGAAGATACAAGGGAGTCGGGGAGAAAGAGATAGCTAACAAAAAGATCCCAAAGCTCAGAGACACAAAATAGTTAACACCATCAACACACAGGGTATGTATGTTTTCTAGGCTCAGTGTTTGCACCGTCCATTTGTGTCCAGGGCCAGATGTTGTGGAGATTTTATTTCCTTTAGATGAAAACATTGAAGCCACATTTTTCAGACACACCAGTATTTCTAATGAGTGAATAAGGCATTTGAGAAGGTAGCTTTTCCTGGCCACTGTACATTATCCAAGCTCAGGTGCTCACGGGCCAGTCAGTCATATAACTGATACCATCTCTGGTATCCTGAAACACTTTCTCCCAAAGTGGCCAGAAGATGTTAAAGAGATAATTAGAAAATAGCCGGAATGTCCGGAGAACATTGTTGGAATCTACTTTATTTCTAAGAAGAGGGAAAAAAATTATTTTGTATAACTCTTTTCCCCATCATTCAGGACAAAATTAGGTAGAATGTTCTATCAACTGTGGGAGAACCAGCCATGCTCGGGCTGGGAGCTACAGGGAGACTTTAAAGTTGGGACTAACCATGTGCTTGAGGGAGAGTGTTGGGCTAAGGGGAAGTCTTGGATTCTACCTGGCTCTAAGTCACGTGACTGTGTCCCCAGCCACCTGTCTGCATCTTGGCTTTCTTGGTCTGTTCCAGGGTTCATGCCATCTCTTTCCCCACTCTTGCAGGAGGATAGAAGGAAATGACAGATGTGCAAGCATCATCTATCATCTGGAGGGAAATAAAATGATAGAGGGATGCAGAAATAGTATGGCATTTTTCTTTTTTTAAAAGACAGACTCAACTTTATAAATTATGTAAACCTCTCTGATGGACCTAGCAGTAGGAGAGAAGATAAGGGAAAAAAAAAATCTCCCAGCCAACATCTAAGGCTCAGGGCACACAGAAAGGGGACTGCTTAGGTGGTCTGATGGCAGAGACATCCTGACTGGGGGCCTCACAGACACTGGGTTCTGCGGGATCCTTTTCCAGCTCTTTTCTCAGGTTTAGGGAGCGTCTTTTCACAAAGGGCCCCAGGGCCAAGCATGGGGACTCCTGAGTGTGGCCAGCATAAAAGCAGGGACAGTTCTAGCATGGGTCCTGGGGAAGGAACATGGTCAGGCCGCTCATTGTCAGACAGAGGGGGGGCCTTTTTGCCCCTGCAGGGTTCAGTGCTGCTGAGAGAGGCACAGGCAGGCAGGGAGCAGGGAGGTAGATGAGTGATCCAGAACAAACCGCTTCCTCTCTGAACCTTTTCTTGTGTGTTCAGTGTGACTCCCAACTAGAGGATGAGTAGGTGGGTCAGTCCCACAAGGAAACGTGGCCCGATGCTCTCTGACACAAGTGTGTGCCTCAGTACCGTTCCTCTCCAGCTTTTCCGGCAAGGCACAGAGACCACGTGACCAGAGCCATCCACACTATAGCCAGCGGGGCTAGGGCTTTACTCCTGGCTCCAGAAACTGGTGAGAGGGTTTGAAAGGTATGATTGACTCCTGTGCATGGTCCTTCCTGGGTGGGTACCTGGGGCTACTGCCACAGGAGAGCAGAGGAACGCTTCCCCTCTGTGGTCCCCTGCTGCTTCGGATCAATCAAGAACAATCAGTCACGACCCATGATTTTACCTGGAGTTTTCGCGAACTGCTTCTTCTGGCCTGTCAAAAAGCAAGTGCAGGTTTGGATGGCAGGGAACAAAGTTGACGAGGAGGCTGAACACTGCATGAAGAGAGGACCAAGCCAATGAGAGAACAACAGCAGCAACAGAAAACCAAGCAAACCCTGCAACAGACCTGACGGGGGATGAGTCGCTGGACGTGGATGAGGTGGGCATAGGGCTGGAGGGCGCCGAGAACATGGGCCAAGATGGCGAGAGGGGTGATGTTGGGCTTGGATTCGGGGGGCTGCAAGACATAACAACCAGAAAACTTGTCAGCACACAAGGAATCCACAGTGGGAGCACAGGGAGGCCAGATGACAGGGAGCTGGAGCAGCCCGGAGCAGCAATGAAACCTGGCGATGAGTTGCCAGCCAGTGCCCTGGCACCATTCTCCAGAATGGACTGTATCATCTGCCTGGGAATGCCTGGGCTTCTGTGGAACATAGCTGTGTCTCTTCATCCTCCATAGCAACTGCTTTCCAGGTGATACGCGCTCAGCCGCATCCACTGTACATTTGGCTGTGGGCTAATACTCGCCTGAAATCATAACCATGTGTTCCCACACCCACTGCTTATCACTGGCCATCGTGTGGTGAAGGGCTGGCTTGTGTGGTGCCCTTGGTTTCCGCTGCTGTGGGTTTAAAGACACGGTTCAGTAGAAATGACCGTCTTTCAGGGACATGGTAGCCATTCAGCCAGAAAACAATTTTGTGTTTACATTTTTAACTAAATGGGCTCTGTGCCACTGGTGACTTGTGCGTCAGGAAAGTGACAGTGGGCAGAGGTGGGCATGGGAATGCCACACCTCCCAGGTCACCCCCCGAGGTCCTGGGCGGGGTGCAGTTCCTCTGAGGTTTGCTTTCTAGGTCTGCCCTTTCTCTTCTCATCGATTCTGGGTGCTTTGATGTTTAAAGGAATTTAAAAGAAATCCCAGGGGGAAGGCACTAGAGAAAAGATCAACTGAACCTGAAAATTTGTGCATTGTGTTGTTTGATGGGTGACTGATCAAAATTTTGGAGAGGGAAGGTGGAAATGACTCACTACAATGAGGTTTGTGGATTTTAATTGGCCATGCTAAGCCCTTTGACTTATTTCCACAAAATACACAAACACCTTAGTCACTCCGTGAAATCACATTGTCACAGATAGCGCACATGCCAACAGCTGAGAAAATGTGGAGACCATCCAGCCTCAATGCTCTGGCTGCCCTTGAGTCCCAGCCGACGGCTGTGCTGTTTGAGTCAAGCATTTAGGGAAGTGAAAATGACAGACAGCCAAACCAAGGACCACAGGGGTTCTTGGCAGACAGAGGTCCAGCTTGAACATAAATGCCCTGCTTAATGGGACTTATTATGTTAATTCAGACAGGAGCCCCAGCAATGGCCCTAATCACCTTTGTCTTAACACAAAGACCTAAGGAAGTACACACTGAGAACCACTGTGTATGTCAATGAGCTCTCCTGAGACTAACATAACTTAACATCTGCTGAATGCCACTGTCTGAATTACATTTCTGGAGTAGTAATTCCATCAGGGACAAATGTTTGCCCCTTTGGTACCTGCTCTATTTCCAGGGTCTCAAACAGTACCTGGAGGCATTCACAGACGTAGCTTTTGTAAGTATATCCAGTGCATTTTATTTAACCCGTCCAACAACTCACACACAGGCACTAGTACACTAGCACTAGATGTGGGGGCTTGGGCAGAGTAGGCAGGGCTTTGTAGCTTCTGGGTGACTGGGGTTCCAGGACAGCAGGACTAGCTCATTCCTCTAGCTCATGCCCAGCTTTGTATGAGAAATCTTAATGCCGATTTATGAATTTCCTTCAGATGCCTACCCTGTTAGCGGGCAAAGAGAGAAAACAGTAAGACAGACAGACTCAATAAGACTCAAGTCATTGTAAATTCCAGCAAAATCCACAATCTTGCCTCCAGTGTTGTTTGGTAAGTGCATACAGCAGATGGCATTCATTTAAGTGAAGAACTTAAATTCAAGGAGCATGGTTCTTTTATTTATTTATCCATTATTATTATCACTGCAATTCAGCAAAGGCTTCCCCTTGGACAGCAAGGCTGATGGAGACAGTAAGTGAGATCTGCCAAGGTTCGCAACATCAACAGCCTGAATGTATCTGACAAGAGGGGGCTGATTAAAAACAACCACATTATAAGACAGAAAGATGCATCAGTGTGACTATCTCAAGTCTGGGAGAAGCCTGCCATATTTGTGCTGTGTGGTGGGAAGAATTTCTTCCATGGCTGCTACTCACGAGTGAGGCCTCCCTGTAACTGCACTGTGGCCATCACCACAGCCCTCTCCACAATGGCCTGGTGGGTCAGGCCTGTGAACAGCTTCCAGACTGTGGGAGTCTCTGTCCAGTGGCAATGCAGAAGTTCCAGAGGGCTCTGGAGTAGTCTGGCCCTTAGAGTAGGGGTTATCAGAGGAAAGTTAAAAAGAATTCCATATTATTTTTTAATGAGTTTCTTAAGTAGGAAACACCTCTAGCTTCCTATGCGAACAAAACAAAAATAATAACAAATAAAAATAGTAACAAAACAATAACACCCCCCTCACACACACAAAAAAACATCTCACTCTGACCCCAAAAGCCCATATAAAACCAACAGAAAAAAAAAGTCAATTTCAGTCTTGGCTCTGAAACTTCCAATGTCAAATTTCCAACTCTTTTCCTACTAACAAAGCCAAGGTTAGCCCATGATTGAGGATCAGATAAGAGAAAATAACCTCCAAACTACAGTCACGGCGGATGACCCCTAAAAGCTTCTCCACAGCCTCCCAAATAACAGAGCTGAACATCTTGGCACATTTTTTCACCCTCACTGTTCCTGGGGTCACGCAGGCTCCCACATCAAGGCCCAATTGCAGTGACAACAACAGCTTAAACGTGAACCCGGGAGGCACATTTGCTGGTCTGATTTGCATTCATCTGGAAAGCTTGCCTCAGCTTTATCCTGCTGGCCCACTGTGTCTTCAGGAACCAGACGGCCCTGTCAGTGTCTTTGACGTTCACTGGACAGTGAAAGAATAACGGGTTAGGAAGATAAGGATAAAAGGCTGGCAGCCTGCTGGGCTGTGGCTGACAGGTCAAGTACAGTGTGCAGCTGTATCACCAGCTTGACACCCCTGTGTGGTGACTCACTTGAATGATGGGATGACTGGAGTACCAGCCAGGGCATGTCTCCCGTACCATGCACAGGGTTGCCAAGTAGGCTCCCAACCCAAGCACAACTGGGGCAGACCCTCTCAGGTCAGTACACTTCAGCCGTGGTGATGGCACAGGGAGTTCCCCTTCCTGGTGAAATTGGCTGACCATGAGAAAAAAGGTAAGTCTTCTTAAGTTCTGATCATTAACTCTGTGATGGCTTTGCTAAAAATTAGAAAACACTAAAATACAAGAAGATAAGTAATAAAATCATGCATCTTTAGACCTCTGATAATCACTGTTAATATCTTGATATTCTCACTTTTCTGGAGGAGGATAGATAGATGGCATACTTTTTTTAATAGGTCACTTGTTTTAATAAGATACTTTCCAATGTCATTGAACAGCTTTTGATATAATACATATTTTAAATTTTTAATCAATTTACTTTTATTTATTTAAAATACAAAGGCAGAAATAAAGATTTTTCTCTTTACTGGTTTTCCCTCTAAATGGTCAGTTAGCATAGGGTAAAGCCAGCCAAAGCCAGGAGCCCAAAACTTAATCTGTGTGTCCCATGTAGGTGATAGGGACCCAATTATTCCAGTCATCACCTCAACTCTCAGAGAACACATTAGCTGGACATTGGATGGAAAGTAGAGCCAGGACTTGGACTCAGGCACTCCAGTGTCGGGTCTGGGCATCCCAAGGAGTATCTGACCTGCACTAAGTGCCTGACTCTGATACCATATTTTTAAAGTGACTACAGGTTGTCTCATATGATACATCCTGATTTATGCAACTATATTCTCTGGTGTGCCCACTGAGGTTAGCATCCCTTTTTAGGTACTACATTTGGGCCACAGTCACATCCTTCCAAGGGACTACTGTCCGTGTCTCTAATTGTTTCCTTAACATGAATTCCTGGAACTAAAATTAGTGGTCAAAGCCAAGAGCTACTTTCAAGGGTCTTGAGCTTCTTGGAAAGATTCTACCAGAACTGCACTCCCCATGACACTGGGAGCTCCTTCTTATCACGACCCTGCCAGGTTTGAGCACCAGCATTAAATACTACCACCAACAACTAGGTGGGACTTTTCCCCAGTGTACAGCAGTTTCCTTGGGCTCTTCTCTTTCCTATCATGTCCATAATGTAAGAATAAACATATCTCTTCCTGTGCTGTGCTTCTGTTGGGAAGCAATGTTTACTTTTTCAAAGGGCTTTTTACAAGGAAGGCAGTAAGTGGAAGGAGACAGGCAGAGGGACAGAAGGACTAACAGCACCGATCTAGGGCCATCAGAGTCCCAGTCAGATGGTGCTGTTGCTCAGGAAGGGAGACAGGAGGTAGAGGATGCTGGCCACCTGCACCACAGAGCTGCGCAGGAGGGATGAGGGACACAGCGAGGAGCACCATGCCGTGCAGAAGCCACAAAACCCGCATGGACGCCTTCCTGCTAAGCAGGGGCTGTGATCTGCTGCTCAGGTACCTGCTCATGCATCAGGCCTGGGGCCCATGACACTGATGGCCTGAACAACCCTCTGTCCCTCTTTTAACTAGGTGCTACTGAATCCAAAAGAGGAGAGCGGCTGCTTCCACTCCCCACTCCATCCAAATCCCCACCCAGGACAGAAAAGACAATTCTGTAAAAATCAGGCAAGTTCTATAAAACATAACTCCAGATCAACGAATCCTTCTTGTTTGGAAAATACTCCTATGGTTCTTCCCTTAAACCATCACAAAGAGAAGGGAAACCCAATTACAGCTGGGAAGTGTGGGTAGCGGCAAATCAGAGCAAATGCCACATAAACCCGTGGGTATCTGTTGCAGGTTTGAAAGCACCAAGATCTTACACACATCTGTCCAACCTTATAGCACAGAAATCTTATATATGTCCCAAGTCCTAAATTTTTTAGCACCTGCTTCACCGTTTTGCGGGTAAAACATACAATCGCACCTCCTAGGGCTTCTTTCACTGCTCCATATTTTTTCCTGACTCTTCCAAGCACACATTTGCATTTGCACAGATTCTTTCCCCTCATCTAATATAATTTAGTATGCATTCCTATTCAGACAATGTG